TTACGTAATCTGAATTTCCTAGAAAGCCTCCACATGCCTATAATTTTAAATATAACCAACGCGACGCGCCAAAAAGGAGTATCTATTATAAGTTTGCTATAGTCAGTGTGCTATATAAATTTTGGAAGCTATAACTGTGATTGTTATAACGCTTATCAATCGGAAAAGTTCAGATATTTGACCAGGAAAATTTACAAAGTTCTAACATTGCGAATCATTTAACTTTAGTGGATTCTCATCCGACATTAGTATTTTTACGAAAACATTATATAACGTCACCGGTAGGGAAAATATTGGTGTGTGATCAGCGAGAAGTATAAATGTATTAAAGATTTTTTACTGTCAAAAATTAATTGAATCTGTGGCCTTATTTTCATACGATTAAAATCTTGTTCCGATTTAAATCACCATTGTCGAGTTATACCGTTATTAAGTGGTGTGGAAAACAAGTCAGCGCATATATTTCATTGGTTTTGCATGTTTAAATAACCCAAAGTGTTCCATGGTGAGGGGTGTAGTTAAGTGGTCAATTTTAGAACTCATCAGGATCTCTACCGTCTACCTTCAAACTGAAATTCTTCTAGGCAGGATTAGAGTAAATTAATCTATGAGGCATTGGGCGTGGTGAAATTCATGATTAATGAAAGGTTATTTGAGGACATGAAAAGTTGCTTCCCTTATATGTAATTGTAAAAACTGCAAAACAAAGTGTGAAACCATAGGTTTGCATACATCTCGGCATGGACCCAAGAAACCTTCATGCCAAATTTGGTGAAGGTCCATCAAGAGGGGCGAAGTAGAGATAAAACGAACGCAAAAACGTCCATAAAAACCGCAAAATGCAAAACTGAAAATGTGTATGTACCCCGCATGGACTTAATGAACCTCCATACCAATTTTGGTAAATATCCATTCACACCTTGTGAATTGGTTACATGGACAGACAGTCCTGTTATATTTATATACATATTTTTGCACGCCAGAATACCAAGCGTGAGGCGCGCGTATAACCGATTCAATTTTAGAACTCATCAGGATCTCTACCAGTCTACCTTCAAACTGAAATTCTTCTAGGCAGGATTAGAGTAAATTAATCTATGAGGCCTTGGGCGTGGTCAAATACATCATTGGAAAGGGTTTGACCTTCTGAGTTGAAAACTGTAATTAGATTTCAAATTGGTCAAGAGATGACGAAGCTAAAAGTTTGTAGTTTGGGGGGGGGACTCGGAGCCATTCTATAACCCACTATGTCGCAGCTAAAATGAACATTGTAGTTAAGTGTACAGTAAGTAGGACCGGCCTCCTGGTGGGGCAGCGGTGAGTTTACTAATAACACTAAAACCACCTGTGAGTCAGTATGTATGTTACCGATAGTGGTAACCAGTGATGAGGAAAACAAGACAGCGCATATATTTCATTGGTTTTGCATGTTTAAATAACCCGAAGTGTTCCATGGTGAGGGAATCGGTATAAATAAAAGGCGTGCAGAACAAATGGCAAGTGTTTTTCTTTCGCAGCTTTTCCTTACCGCCCATGGAGACAAGCCATGTAACTATTATTCAGTGTCAAACAGCTGTTAAGACAATTTCATGTAAATCCAAAGATAATAAGGAAATCAGTAAACTCAGAGTGGAGCGAAGATAAATCCAAATTTCTGACCACCCCTAGTTTTAAACCAAAATACCTACCTCGATAATGATGATGATGGCAAGTGTTTCAGAAACTATAAAGGTAAATAACTTCAAAAAGGGGGGGGGGTGGCAAAGCGAAGAATTAAAATTGAGAAAATCTTGTGTAGGGGAATACAACAAATATTAAGTTAACCAATATTTCAAATTGTACTCACTTAATTGCAAAGTGACTACAGGGCTGAGAAATACAAATCAGAGGAAACCTATACACGGCAAAAAGCTGCACTAGATAATATATTTTTTATTCTTATTACAGTGGCATACGTAACGGATGATAATTGAAAGTGATAACTAGTACGGAGCAATAGTTATTTACCAGTAGAGGATTTTTCTACACTGTGATGCCAATACTCGACATCCCAATCTTGGTTTATAACGACAAAATTCATCCACCTACAAAAATCTGTCTAGAAGAAATTTTCTAAAACTGAAAATATGGAAGCAGTACGATTTAAAACAAAATGTTTCTGTTTTTCCTGTAAGTTATTTTATGTAAAACAACTGCAGTAAACTGAATATTTTTATTTCATCACCCAGAGACAAAACCGATCACGTGTTAAATTATTCTAGGAATGGAGTTTTTATTTTAGTTCAAGTGGAATTCATGGCAAATTCTGATCTTATAATGAAGTAAGTCGTTATTATTTGAGCTGTGGAATCATGAATAAGCTAATAAAGATGCTTTCAAGAACAAAAATGTTTTTTTTTAATTAGATAATAAAGTAAGTTATCGTAAAGAGCAGTTGTTTGTAGTTTTAAGATCTGTGAATATTCAAGGTCAACGTTTAAGAAATTTTAATTTCTTTCGTTAATGTTGAGAAGACCACAATCTGTTCTGTCACTGTCAGAGATCTTTATTGAAGAGCCTATTAAACATGGAATACCGTTCAAAGCTTACCAAGGTTCAAAAATGACAGGGTAACCAACCGATATTGTTACAACAAAATAAATGACATTTTTCGTTCCTTTTGGTTGTCATTGTTTGAACTTCATATGGAAGGCTAGCCCCTCGTGTAGATTTACGCGAAGTTCTGACAAATATTGTAATAAAAAAAGGTGGTAATATCAAGAGGGGATTTTAAAATTATTTAGCATTTCTGTATTGACTAAGCACTTGAAATTGACGCATGTTACACAAATCTAGGCATCGCGGCAAACGTGGTTGCTATGTTTCCTAATTAGACTTAAGTATTGATACTAAAGGCCTAAAACATGTTTATAAACACCACCACCTTCATGTTTTACAATAAACTAGTTAGAAGATTTTGATACTACATTAATGAAATTGTTGACAAAGTAAGTCAGATATAATATTTATTTTAGATTATGGAACGAAGTTTAAAATTACGTTTCGAAAAATATGAATCAGGTTAATTGTACTATAAATTATTCATTATTTGTTACAGCAGGGTAATAATTGACAGTGGCCATGTCAGCGTCTTGAATATATTTTCATTGTTCTGTTAAATCTTACCTATATACAAGCCAGTATGTGACACGTCATGTCACACATGATTTCTCGAAATAGGAGGAGTCATAAAAGCCAACATGTATTTATCCAGATAGAAAAGTTCGATTACTGTCTTCCCATTACGATCTTAGTGACGGGGGTGCAAAGGAACTGTGATGGGGTACCATGAAATCTTTTAAAGTGTAGTGAGTGTTGGTATAATAAGCCTAAACTAAAGTAAAGACGTAGTGTGGAATCTCCTAGTCTAGAGCCAAGTGCATAAATCGTTTCTGAGTTAAGCTATTTTCTGTTATCACCAGCGATTTTTAATAAAAAATAAAAACTTTTAATGAACAGAGACTCTAAATTAAGAAGTCAACAAATATTTTTCCAGTTTTGTTGTCCATACATTTCATTTTATACTTTCAGTACATAGACTAACAACGATATTAGATTATCTTAATTTTGATTGGCTCACCAAGGAATTTACCGAATGTTGACTGCCTCGACTGCACTTTTTTACCTCTTCGTTGGTCAAGCTTGATTTCTCAAAATTTATTTATTTCAACTAGTTATGCAACGAATTTGTTGTCATGTATTTATTTTTAATATGAATGTTGTTTAGATTAAGTTTGTATTTAAAAATATGCGTAACTTATAGTGTTAGATATGTATTGATTGTAACGAATTTGTTATATATTTATTTTAATGTCAACGTTTTTCTGAATTGAGTTTATAATTAAAAACGTACCTAGCTTACCGTGTTAGTTACGTATGGCGCAACTCCCGCCAATTCTCCAAGGTTGTAGAATATTCATGAACGCAAGAATCGACAATATATCCACTTCAATATAGTTAAGTATATGACAAAACCTTGTCGAAACGTTGTGCTTTTGCTGTTATGTTAAACTTATATTAAAGTTTTTCTTCATTACCCATTCAAGCCGTCTCCATTCATTAATAGTTAAGTATTGTTGTCCGAACTTTCGACAAAACCTTTCTCACACACATAAAAAGACCAAGGCCAAACAAGAGAGCATATAAGTCTGCTAGGAATCTGTTATAACCGAGTACCTATAAACCGTGATTTTGCTAACCCTAATCAACCGGAAAATATACGACATTTGACCAGGAACAGTTATAAATTTCGAACGTCAGTGGATTCTCATCGGAGGTTAGTATCTTTCCAAAAATATTACTGGTTTGTCATCGGACATTAGTGGTTTTATGAAAATATTATCTTACTTCAACGGTCCAACAAT